ATTTCTATTTTGTCCTGGTCTCTGGTGTCCTTAAACATGTTGGTTGACTTATGATCCACAAAAAAGAAAAAAATTCATAAGATTTAATTAATTGAAACTTATTGTTTTTGAGCCTAAAGTCCCAGAATCTTTGCTGCCATTATGCCAAAGGATCAAAAACTTTTAAATTTTACTTAATTAGAAGACCATATGCTTTTTTATATTTTTAGAGCTCCTGGATACTAAAAACTAGGAAAAAGTAATCTTTTTGCGTCTTTCAAACCGCAGTCCTTTTTGGAACTTTACATTCCTAAGTAAAAATGAATAAATAGGGGGAGGAGGTCCTAATAATTTTAGGTTGAGTAGGAAAATTTTCGACTTCTTGAGTAGGAACATCAACTTCTGTGTATTAAGCACTTACAAGTACTATCTTATTTTGCCTTTCATTTTTATATTTGTTCATGTTTCATAAATGTTTTATATCTTACAAATTTAAGTTAATTTGACCATGTTTATTTTTTTTTTGTTATGAAAAAACCTCTCCAGTTCTTTGTAACAACTTTAACTAAACTATTCAGGACAAAGTTTTAATAATCATATCTTTGAAACCATTTGTAATATTGTTTGGAATTATTTCTTTAATTAATTAATCGATCTAGAATAAATCTAGGTGTGTCAGTCCATCTTCTTTGCTTTTTGTAGGTGGTTTTGCTTCCCTTTTTTATAAGCTGAATTTTGATATTCTTTTATTCAGCATCTGCTTTCATTATCAAGTAAATGAAATAAGCCAGGTCTTGGTCAAAAATATCTTTTTTTAAATTTTTTTTGCTAATGTGTTTGCAGATCAGAAAAATGATGTCACAAAGTAAGCCAGATTTTAATTTCTTTTGGTATGTAAATGGTATAAATTTGCCTTTGTAATAAATTAGATACACTTAACTTAAATAGTTCATCTTTAATCCAAAAACTAACTAAAGCAAATATTCGTTCTCATTCGTTTTCATCAGGCGGTCAGAAAATTAACTATTTTGAACTTCTTTGCTGCTATAACAAATTAATTTTGGTGTTCTTAAGTTATCTAGTTTACAGTCAAAGTAGTTTACAATCAAACCTGTATAAATTAGAATTAAAACAGTGGCTAGGTGAACTTAATTATGCAAAATAGAAGATTTTATCCCAGTATCTAATAGCATAGTTCAAAGTAGACTACTAGTATTTAGGTTTACACCATCTAAATTTTGTTATAGTAAATATAGTATTTTAGATTTCTATTCACATAAATAGGTGAGGTTTAAGCTAAATCACAGTTTAAATCTACATTGTCTTTGGTACAATAATGTATATGGAATTAATATCAACAATCAATAAAACAAAAACCTAAGTAAATAAAAATTTCAAATAAAAAGCAAATCTGCTTTTGTCTAAATTTGATTTGAGATTTAATTTAAAACTGATAAGATTAATCACAGTTTAAGAGTTCACCATTTCAGTCTACTAAGCTACGAGAAAGTGATTTAAATTGTAATACTTATAAAAAATAAAAATAAAACAAAGTTATTGATCTAACAAATATAATGTTACTAAAATATATTATAAATGAGTAGAGAATAGATTTAATTTCACTATATATTTATTCTGATATTGTCATAATAATAATTGTATAAGTAATTTTTATTGTGTAAAATATTACTCAATTTCCAAGTTATTTTCTAGTTATTCTGATTTTAAAATCACAAGACACAGATTTTTTTAGATGTTTTAAAGTTAGCTTACTTTTACTTTAGGTTTTTTTAAAGCGCTTTTTTGTTCATCTACAAGTTATATGGCTTTTTTTTATGCACCAAAAAACAATTTGATGAAATTATTTATAAATTATGATTCTTTTCAAAGTAAAGCAGTTATTATTTTTATTAGTATTATTATTATTTGTAGTTTTTCTCGAGCAGAGATAAATACCCTTGTAAAGAGATTTTTGTTTTTAAATTAACTTGTTTTTGCTTTGACCATATCTCAATTTGTGTGTTTTAAATAAAAGTTTTGAATCTGATCACAAACCATCATTTGCAAATGGTAGCACAAGTACATCATAGTTCAGATAAATTATTCTCAATAAATTCGTATGATAGTTTAAAATTTATTAATTTCATTTTTTTAGCAATTAAGTCAAAAGGTTTTTATATTGGATAAGGTTAGTTTATTAATTCAACTAGTTAAGCATTTTATGGACCATGAATTAATTTGTATATAAATTCTCATCCAACTTGAATTTATAGAGGATGCAAGACAAAATCATACTTTTGAACAGAATTGTAAGGCCTTCAGTAAAGCTCTAGCTTTACTGATAACCTAACTAGATGATTTGTTTTTTGAATGATTGTTGTCAAAATAAAAAGTTAAGTAAAATGAAACAAGAAGATCTGCTCTTGTGGTATATGCTCCGTCGAACAAGGATAAATACATCCATTTTTTTATTGTTTTAATTTTCTATAAAAGCTTTTAATTTTCTATAAAAGCTTTGATCTTAAAAACAATAATTAATTTTAATTATTTTTTTGAAGATCAAAGCTTTTATAGAAAATACTGTTATTTTAAAGTTAGTGAATTTTTTATACTTTTTAAGCAAATATTTTTTTTTTTAAATCTCTTGTTTGTCACGTGTTTAACAAAAAAAAAACGTCTCTAAGCAAAAAGAAAATTAAGCAAAAGAAAGTTTTTTTGTGGAAGATATGGTTTATAACTGATATAAATATAAGTTTATATAATATAATATTTATATAATATAATTATATAATATAAAGTTTATATATATAAACGTAACAAGACAAATGTCTTGTTACGTTTTAATAATGAGAAATTTTTTATGAAATTAGTTATATTTTTTATTTTTTATTCGGTTTATTGTTTATTTTTATGTATACTGATATTAATTTACAAACTAATATATAATATACTAATATATAATAATATGTATACTAATATTAATTTACAAATTGTAAATTCTGTTTAAAAAACATGCGTTTCACTATTTTTCTTGTGGTTTTTTCATTAGGTTTATTATTTAGATAACGCTAAGTTTAATTTACGTTTTATATCGTCAGAAAAAATAACAGTAACTAAATTTTTTTTTATTACTTTTATTTTTCATTTTATTTATTTCACATCATTATACTTAATAGAATTATTTTCTGTATAAAATAATGTATAATTTATTATTCGACGTGTTATCAAGCTTTAAACGTGATCTAAACGTTTTTTTTTTTTTTTTGTGAATTCACAAATACTTTCATTTTATATTAAACGGTTGCTATAGTTACGATATAATTCTATAAAACTAAGCGGTTGATTTAAATTTTTTGTTCGAATTTGTGAAAAGATTTTTGTACAGTTCGATCATCGAGTTTTATGTATATAAAACCAAACGTTTTGTTTTTTTTTTGGAATAAGTACGAAATTATTCTGTTACCATTGTTTATTAAACTTCACACTGGTAACAAATACTTTTAAAAATTTGTAAGTAAGTATTCTTCAGTTTTATATTCGTTTATTTGTTTTTATTAAAAAAGTTTATGTTTTAAAACAAAATTTATATTGTTACAAAACCTTAACTTACGACGACTGTTTTTCGTGTAAATTTGATGATAATAAGTATTTTTTTGTTGTTGATATATTAGTTGAATTATATTATAAAAACACAAGATCAAGGTGCTAAAATGTGTAAACCTTTAAATTTAATGTAACATTTTTTATAATATTTTGATTTCTATCTCTAAGCTTATTTTTTAAAATATAATATAGCAAATAGATACGTGTTTTTTTAATGTTCAAACTTTTTTTATATTAATCTCTTGGAAATGCGATAATTGAGTTTGAAAGAGTGAGTTTTTTTTATGGAAAGGTCAATCGAAAATAGATTTAGAATATTATAAATTAAGATTTAAAAAATATGTTAAAAAATAAATCAACTTGCCTTCAAAATGTTAGTGGTGCAAAAAAAAAAAAAAATGCATATTTATAAACCTGGAAAAAAATTCTTTTATGAAGTATAAGGTAAGACCTTCGTCACAAAAACTCTACGCTACAAAAAATATATTTTCATCGCGTAGAATTCATTGATTTACAAATTTTTTACTTTAAAAAATGTTTGGCATGCTTTAGTATGCAAAAAAACTAGTACAGTATGATAATGGTATGTAAGTACCTATGCCATACTAATTTTAAAACATACTGAGCTATTATTTAATTGCATTTTTAACCGTTTATTTTTAATCGTTCGTCTAAGTTTGATATTTTAGAAAAAACCTGTGTTTCTTTTGCAAAAAGTTTCAGAGAAATATGAATTACATGAAACAATTGTGAATGAGGAATTATTTTCTTGTTTGCGTTAAAATGATTGTTTCATGGATTTAATTTTTACTTTTTAAAACAAAATGTCGTTTGATGTGATGTTATTGTAATTTTTAAATTCAATTGGTTTATCTTCTGTTTGTTGCTTGTTTTTATATATTATATATATATTACATTTTGTAGCTTTAATGATGAAATTATGTTGATTTTGATGTGTAAATGTCTCATAATTATAAATCTTTTATGTGTGTGAACAACCGTTCTAATTTTTGTTATGTTATTTTAAATATGTTTAATTTATAACTTATATTTAAATTATTTTGTTTTAGAAATATGATAAATTAACAAAATTAAAAAATTGTCTTTTTTATTATATTATATATTACATTTTTATATATATTTATTTTTCATGTGAATTATTTTATTTAAAGGTTTCACACTTTTATTATTTTTTTATATCATTTTAATTTAATATAAATTTATGTATATAATATTATTGTATAAAATATAGTCTATTTAATAAAAAATAAAAAATTGTATGTTTTTTATTCAATCATAAATTAATAAAAATTATATGTATGAATATGTAAAATATTATAATGTATATGATGTTATAGTTTTGATTATTATTTTTATTCTTTGTTTATTTTTATAATTAATATTTAATTTTACTTTAGATCGTCTAAGTAAAAGTGATGATATTAAAGATCGCTATGATTTATTCATTGAATGTTTTTATGAAAGTCAATCATCATTTAATGATGAAATTAAATCAATTGTTGATGAACGAAAACGAGGAGAGATATGGTGGATTTCGATTGACGATGGAAAAACTTCTTACTTAACTTCTTGCAAAAATTATTTCATAAATCATTACGTAAAATCTGGAAGAAAGTTATCGTGGTTACAAGTTCATAATGTTTATAAAGATATTTTAAGTGATGAAGAAAAAAAACTTTTAATACAATGTTCAACTAATGTTCGCCATGTCAGCTTTTTTAATCCAATTAATTTCGAAGGATGGAAACCGAAAGATAAGATTGAAGAGTTGCAGATTTGGATCCCATTAGATTTAATAACAAAAAAAGATTTTGAAGAAAATTTTCTTCCGTGGATTAATCTTTGTAAAAAATTATATCTTTGGCTTCACGACGACATTGATTTTATTAAAGAATTTTATGAATGGATTCGTTGTTTGAATGTCAAGAAGTTTGAGATCAAGTACCGTGGAAAATATTTTCGTAACTTCGATGAATTAAAAAACTTTACAACACGATAAAATATTTAATACCTTAAATATATTAAATAAAAACAATAACTATAAATAACTAATGAAATATTTAATGTATTATTTTATAATAAATACGTTTTTAAATATACAAATTATTTTTACTAGTTTATTAGATTTAATATTTAAAAGTTTAATTTTTTACTATTAAAATATTTTATAAATAATTCGTTTTCAAATATATTAATAGTTATAATTATGATATAAATTATTAAATATATTATTATAGTATATAAATTTTCATGTATATTATTATTATTAATAATATTTTACTTGTAAAATTATAAATTGCGGTACATGATTTATTGTTGTTTTTTTTAAATATTATATTTTCAGTTTTTAATTATTATGTTCTTAATATATAATTTTTTAAATAATATTGTTAATAAATATTTGTTTTAATAAGTAATAAATGTTTGTTTAATACTTTATTTATGTTTTTATGTTTTGTGATGTTTAAGAATTAAATTAAAAAATCTAAATATGCAAATTAAAATAAAATATTAATTTTTTTTATTTTATTATCAATTTCTTTTCAAATAATATCGTATTTAAGATAAAGTCAATAATATTTTAAGTTGATTGAATTTTGAATAAAACAACTTTTTTTATTAGATTTGCACTTTTTATACACCTTTTATACAAATTTATGTTTATAATAAAATGACTTTTCAAGGTTTTCGCCATTGTTTCTTGAAGAGATGAGCTAAATAAAAAAATTCGTCGTCAACAAAATAAAAAAATTTGATGGTTTAGTAGAATTTTTCTTCGAAGATTTTTAGTTCGAAATTTCATATTTCATTTGACGTTTTTACTTAATTTTTAATTGACTTTAAATTTTACTTAATCGATCAAAATTTTTTATATAAAATGTTAATAAATATCAAAACAAATAATTTAATTAAAAATATTTTTTTTTAAATGGTTTTCAATTTTTTTGTAAAAAGTTTTGTTCTCTCTCTCCATAAGTAGCAGTTTTAAACCGTGATTTTAATTACCGAGAACTATAATATTTATAAAATATAGTAAAAAACAATGGAAGAATTGAAACTACTTTTTAAGCTAGAAAGAATTAAATAAAAACCAACTAAACATTTAATCTTTTTTAGAAAAATTCAGTTTCAAGTTTAGACTAATAAACACCGCGTTTAAATGTTTCTAAAACCGCGAATGAAACTTTATTAAACGATCGTAATAAAAATAAACAAAAAATAATTTGAGTACGCAAGTCTTGATTTTCAAAAGTTACGCAAACATTTTCAATGCCAAAGAGATAAATGTTGGTCTTATGTTACGTTAAGACCATTTGTTACAAAACTGCAGCTAGCAAGTACTGTGACAGTAAAACCACAACTTTTTTGAACAAATTTAGTTATGTTGAATAAAAATAATATAAATAAATGAATACTTTTTTTATAATTTAAATATAAAAAACTATTTTAATTCAAAAATCTTTAAAATTCTCTTTGTAATTTAAGAAAAATTCACGTTTTAAAATCTTTTTTAAATTTTGAAACTTATAAAAAAGCATTAAAACAAACTATGTGGCTTAATGTATGGATATATTAAATTGCCGTTAACCAACCATGTCATGGTTGTTGTTTATAATGGCAGTTTAAATCGTGACATTAAACGCAAAAATAAGTTCTAAAGAATAAAGTAAACAAAAATAACTCTTGTAAACAAAATCAACTGTTGTTCATTTTTTAAAGGTAGTCGGTAAAATGCGAACCGCGAACTGCGGACCGGTAAAAAGCGAACCAAAACATTATATTTTAAAGACCATTATTGTTAAGATAAAAATAATAATAAAAAAAACTCTCCAACTCTTAATTATTTATTTTAAAGCTTTATTTAAAATAAATTTTTTAGTTTTAAACTGTAAAACATGCGCGGAGTGTTGCTACATCGACTACCTTATAGCCTGATTCGCAATGGAGTGCTGCTACATCGACTGAGGGTTTGGTTTAGGCAGAGAGTCTATCAAATAATTAAAAAAAAAAAATTATATTGTATTTTCCTTTCATAATAGGTTTCACTTAATTTCTTTATATTTATTTTTAGTTAATTTTTTCACTTAAAAATCCTTAAAATATACCGCTAAATAAACTATTTAACGGAAGTAAAACATTACATCATTAACAACGATGGTTCGCAAAAAAGTTTGCATTTTACAAGTTCGCGGTTCGCAGTTCGCATTTTATCTAGTACCATTTTTAACCTTTTCGTGACGCGTGACCCGTTTGGCGATTTATAAAACTTGTATCTAAACGACGAGTGACCCGCATGACGGTGCATAAATAATTTAAAAATTTTTTAAATATCTATTGCATTTAGGAAAAACTTTAAAACTATCTTTGAATTGTAAATAATTTCTTTAGTTAATGCTTCAAACCGTTTCTTAATTGCATTTATAGATCGCTCAAAAATCAGTTTTAAAAAATGATGAAGAACAAATTATATTATATAGATATAAATGAAATCATTTATATTTGTTGCAACGATAGTGGTGGATATTTTTTTTTGTTTGATTGGCAGTATAAATGCTACATTAGTTTAATATCAAAAATGATATGTTTATCTATTTCTTTTATATTTGTTTAAGTTTACATAAAGAAACTATATATTTTTGTTAATTTTAACACAATATATTCTGATCACGTAACTAACATAAACATTTTTTTTTAATTGTTGAATTTTCTAAAAGTCAATTCTTAGACAAAAAAAAAACAAGATCTTGTTTTTCAAATTCTGAGTCGTAGTTTTTATTTTATACTCTTTCAATTGATCATGATTCTAGTTCTTTATTTTACGCGCAGTCATGTAGCTGTTTTTAACTCAGTCGCGAAAGGGTTAAAATGAAAAAAGAAAGCTCTGAAATTAATAGGAAAAGGTAAAAGGCCAAAACTAAAATGTTCTTAGGCCAAGGTCAATAATTTCAAGGCCTTAGTTATTGGCCTTAAGGCCAATAATTGAAACTAGCAGTTCTGATTAAAACTCTCGTATAATTCTCACCTATAAAATATTTTATCTGTAATTATATAGGGTTATTAAAAATAAGTTTAGAACAGAATCACGCGCGAAACAGAAAAAAAAAAGTCTTTCACAGAGTTCATGTAGTTTGTTAATATCTCAACAACTCATAGTTAATATACTTTCAATAAGAAATAGCAGACGTCTAATCTTTTAAGCAGGAGTATAGCGTTTTGAAATCTTTATTCAAACTGTATACTATTCAAACTGTCGCAACATTAACACAAATAAAAGATATACTGACAAAAATAAACATATTTAAACATATAGCCTAAAATAAAATATAAATATTCTAGAGTCTTAGTTCTAATTGTAAACACGAAAAAAAAAAATACGCAAAAAGTTGGAAACCAATATTAAGTTAAAAAAATAATTTATTAAACTATGACGTCAGGTGCTTGAATAGAGGGGCCATATTTACTGACATCCATAAATGATGTCAGTAAATATAGGGGGATGGGGTCCTGAAAAGTTTGACAAGAGTTGACAACGAGGAAGGGGGGGGAAGCATTAAAAACAAAATAATGTCAAATTAAAAAAAAAAAAAAAACTTATACGCGCAAATTTTAAAGGTATTTGCATATACAATGTGGTATAGAAATGGTATACTTGTATTGTGTGAAATTTGATGTAAGTTTATCAGAGACTTTAAATAAATTAAAAATTTACCAACGTTTTATTATTGTATTACCATTTGACTGCAAATCAAATTGTTTGCAAATATCAACTATTTCTATACAAATTTAAGAAACTTATTTTTAGACTCTTATTTTAGACTCTTATTCTTTTTTACAAGAATCTTATTTTAACTTAAGAATCACGTTGTTTGCAACGTAGCGGATTGTAAAATATGCTTCAAAGCAAACGCATAAAGTCATTTGGTATTATTTAATACAATTGTCATTATTTCAACTACGAAACTTTATTTTCTTTCTAGTGACTCGTAAAATGTGATGTAATACGAACACATAAGATCACTATCGCAAATACAAACCTCTTATTGCCCCAAAGCGGCTTGAAGAAGTTCTTGAAAACAGCTTACGGTAGCAAATTCATCATTTTGATTAAGATATAAATACAATTGTAAATACAATTGTCATTATTTCAAGTACGAAACTAAACTGATAAACTAAACTATACTGATAAACCAATAACACATATATGTATAAAGCAACGGATTTGGTCATATTTCAATAGGGCGATAACCGTTTGGTTTGCGGAGAACATTCAGTACCTATTGTTTCAATCGTAGATCACTTCAACAACCCATGGAAAGATGATGAGTGATTGAACTTATATTATAGGTACAGAATAAAATTTCCTTATTTTGATTAGTTTGTTTATTATTTGATGAGATATCTAGTGTTGTATAATATAAATAGCTGAGGTATTAACTACTAAATAAATGTATAGCTTAATCAGAAAAAAAATCAATGCTGTTTACGCATATTTTTAATGTAACTTTAATGAGGGGGGCAGGGATACAAAAAGTGAAATCATATTAAAGGAGGAGAGATGGGGGGGGGGGGGGGGGGAATTACCAAGAATTAACAGAGTTTGACAAAAGAGGTAAGGGTTTGAAAAATTGTTAGAAATCACTGACATCTATTGACAGCCCCAGAAATAATTAACATAACGTCAAAATACTTTTTATTTTCCACATGCTATAAAGCATAATATTATTTAATTTCCATATTACATGAAACATATTATTATAAAAGAAAAGAATAAAACTGTAAGTATAAAATTTGTAAAAAAATGCACCAGTATTCTCAAATCAAAGTAAAAACACTTAAAAAACATCAAAAACTTTAAGACAAATTTACAACAATAAAAAGTTATTCATGCTCAATCCTTATTATTGGAATAAATGAAAGAACTTAATGTTTTTGAATAAATATTTTAAGAAATATACTTTTTATGTCTAAATACATTTTACGACATTTTACGACAAACGTTTTGAAAATAACATTAACAAGTATAATACATGAGTATTATATAATACAAGAGTAAAGTTTGTCATAATACTTTCTCTGCTAAATCAATTATAAT